AATCTATCGCACGCAGGGACCTGGAATTTTTATACGGAAGCACAAAGGGGCTGGCCACCAGACCTCGAAGCCCGATTTTCGATTTTTGAATTAGAAAAAATTAAAAAAAAAATTATTTATAATTAATTAATCACGGTTTTTTTGACTCACTGATATTATTATTGTTTTCAAATAACGTTCGATTGTAACAATTGATTCTTTATTCTAGCGTTAGTTTGCTGTTTTGACGATACATTAAATCGATTAATTACAATTCATTTCTTTTTTGTAGCTTATTATTTATAATTAATTAATCACGGTTTTTTTGACTCACTGATATTATTATTTGTTTTCAAATAACGTTCGATTGTAACAATTGATTTCTTTATTCTAGCGTTAGTTTGCTGTTTTGACGATACATTAAATCGATTAATTACAATTCATTTCTTTTTTGTAGCTTATTATTTATAATTAATTAATCACGGTTTTTTTGACTCACTGATATTATTATTTGTTTTCAAATAACGTTCGATTGTAACAATTGATTTCTTTATTCTAGTGTTAGTTTGCTGTTTTGACGATACATTAAATCGATTAATTACAATTCATTTCTTTTTTGTAGCTTGTGGGGGGGGGAGAGAGAGACAGTCTACATGTCCTACACTACTATTCCTGCGCTATTCACTTATCTGCATTTTCTAAATGCATGGGCAACGCCGGGCGGGTACAGCTAGTACATTAATAAGTAACAGTTGTACGATTTGTCGTGAAATACTGTAAAAAATTGCTTAGGATATAGAAGAGGTAAAAATGCAAATTGAATTTAATTGGAGGAAATTTCATAGTCTGTAATTAATATAGGTTAGAGTAGCTTGAAGGGTACCCCTTGTATTATCACGAAGTTGTTGTTTCATTTATCACCAAGTTGTTTCATTTATGGTAACCTGAGTAGTTGAATGTTCCATGAATATACTTTTACCTAGAATTGGGTGCTCCTTTGACTTTTTAAGTGAAAATATATTGATGTGTACTACATGGACAGAGTCAAGGGAGTGCACAATACGAAGTTTGTGCAATTCTCTGATATTTTTTAAAGTGAAAATAAGTCGACATGTACATGGATGAAGTCAAGGGAGTGCGCAATGCCTAGTTTGTACAATTCTGTGATGTTTTTTCAAGTGAAAATAGGTCATGTTTTTTTCAAGTGGAAATAGGTCACTGTGTACATGGATTTTTGGCGTTAAAATCGGTGCTACACAAAGCCAAAATAACAAGAATTGCACAAACTCGGTAAAAATCGCCCCTACACAAAGACAAAATAACAAGTCTAAGAATTGTACAAACTCAGTATCCATGCACCACCAAAAATTGCCAATTTTTGCCAAGGGGTACCCCTAAATATACTTTTACCTTAATGTATAAAAACTCATCAACTGTTTATTACATTACAAGAATCTATGAATGACCATATTAAACATAGTTAAGAGCAATGTATATATATTATATGTAAAGAATTATGATTTAATGTGCAATACTAAAAAAGTAAACATTTGAGCTTGCTAAATCTTCTATTTAAGGCCTATGTGGATTTAATAAGTTATTAAAATAATGTTATTTCATATCACAAATAAAGTTAAACTATCAGTAGCAGAGTTTGAATTTTTTTAAAATCAAACTAAGATCCATTTATTAGGTTTACATGACAAATTAATCAATCACCAAAATCACTGAAGCTGCTTACTGAAGAAATATTATTTATGTTCTAGCGTGTGTTAAATTTAAAACAATCACCTTAGAATCTTCATTCTCAAATGGACTCCGGTATGAGAGAACAGAATTATTGTCAACCAGTTCAATAAAATTGCCATATAACTTGGAAGTAAAATTTTTGTTATAAATTCTGTTACTTACCTTATCACAAATTCTTTACAATATTATCCAGAAATAACAACATAAATTTCATTTGAGACTGAGTATCTATTTCCTGCTCTATCATAATTAGAAACAACCAACCAAGTAACAGTCAGAAAAAGAAATGGACAAAATTTGTAGATTATCAGGATTCCATGTTTGTAGTAGAAACAATCTTCAGAATATTGAACTTTTCACATCATTTAAAAAAAGGTTTAAAAGTTTTAAAAATGGTAAATTTTCTGCCACAGTATTTCAGAAAGTTCTTTGTCTTCAAAACAAGCATGAAAACTTATTTTCGCGTACTGCAGAAAAACTTACCAGATATTATCTTGAATTCTTCCTCTTGAAGAAATTAAAATTCAAACAGCAGTGCTTGTTCTTCAGTAAGAATGTTTAGATCTTAGTTTAAATAACTAACTAATGTGATATTTCTTTAGATACTGAACCATGAGCACATTTATTGCCATTAAGTTGCACTCTTTTTGTCAAACAATTCATTCATATTGTACTCCATTTCATAAAATTAATACCCAAAGTGCAGAGACAACATCTCTCTTTGGCTTGCAGATAAGGAATGTCAAAATTTGATGGTAAACCAGCAAGTCTGAACAAACCTGTGCTTGCTCAAGTCAGCTACCTCAGATGCATTGTTTACAACAGGATTCAGAATGGCTAAATAAAGAAGTTGAAACATGATTTTAGATTTCTTCTCATTCATTTAAGAAAGAGCCATTGATTGCAGCTGATAATAAACTTATTTTAATATATAAAATGTTGAAGTTCATGTAAAATTTAGAAATCTTTTACAATGAAACATTGCCTGCTCAAATTATTAATTTTATTTATTTAATTTTTCTTATTTTTTATTTTCATATCATCTTCTCATGTTACTCTGGGCAGGAATTTTAGATTTTTGTTAAATTTTGAAAGCTTAAAAGATATTTAGACTTAAAAAACTATTTTTTAAATTTCTGAACTTAATGGGAAAAGGGGCAAAAAAGTCATAGGCTTGCAGTTTGACGTAAGAAAACAATCAGTTCTTTACTATGAAAATAAATTTGATTGTCAACTGTTTCCTTTCCAACAAAGTTACTTCTTGAACATAAAAATGTGAAGAATTTAGACCAAAACTATATTTTTTGTGTATTTTAGTGTATTTGGATGAAAATGGTAATAAAAAAAATCTTTTAACTCATTAACCTTTCCCCTGGAATGCAGTTTTTTATATATATATATGTATAATAAACAGAGACCTACATATTTCAGTTTTTGCTGGCCTTTAAAATTGGAGGAAAAGTACAGTGCTGTCTAAAACAAATAGTGCTATCCCCCCAAAAAAAATTAAATTCAACAAAATGCTTTTTTTAAAAAACATTTCTTATATATTGTGATGATAACATAAAATGTAGATTCTTAAAACATTTTTCAACTGTTACTAGCAGCAACAGAAATATTACGAGTTTCGCTTATTTTAAGAATGTACTAATTATTTAAAACTGTTATATCTCTTAATTATATATATTCATATATCTCTTAATTTACATTTTGATTAAAAATTTGAGAATTCTTACTAAATACCATTTAAAGTTATTTCTGCAATCCAGTCTCTGGTTTCTTTCAGCATTTATTTGCAACTGTTCCAGTCTGTCACGTTTTTATATGTTCTGTCTATGAAAACAAAATTAAAAATGTTTCTTATGTCCATTCTCCAAGCATAGTAAAATGTAGCATGTTATAAAGTGTTAGATTTTCTTTCAATCTAGATAATTTATAGCATTCTATCTTCAAAATGCTGATTAGAAATGGACATTTCTTCATCTCCTCTCATAAACCAAGAGAATGTTTGTGATGTCCTCAGCCACTGACGTTACCATGGCTAAGCACATTCTTAGGGCATCAAAGACAAATAGGTCCTTAGGTATTCAGGAAAGGGGCAGCAAAAAATTTCTCATTACTGGTTTTACCATGGAATGCATAGTGCAGCTAAGCCAAAACCAAGTAAGAGTAGGAAATGAAGAAAAAACTGGCGTTAGCATATGGGAGGGAGGCACCAGAATCTTTAAAGTACTTAGGGCTAATCCATCTCTGGGTGTAACTAGAAGGAGGTGGATGGGGTGGTCTGTGCTGCATGGCACATTTTTGAAGGTGACTTTTTCATGTAACCATATTATATGTATTTTTAGTCTCAGTTAGTCCCTTTGGAGCAGAAAGACTAATATTGAATTTTAGCAAAGTTTCACTGCGGTTGTGACTAAGGGGCAGAAAATCTTCGTGAAGAAATAAAATTCTCCTTTAAGGGTTTAAATATTGGGAACTGGCTTGAATTTAAGAGATGAATAGCTCTGGCTCATATTGACATGCACGCGTGAATATAGAATCGCATATCATACATTACACATAAGGTAAACAACTTAAAACAGCTACCTAGTTGTTTGGGATTTGACCCCAGTTCGAACTACCAGTATTCAGCCATCTTATTCCCATGGTAACTGCTGAGGTGTAAATCTCAAGAATACATATGTTGGTACAAAACTGAATTGAAGGGGGAATTATTTTTACAGTGGACAGAGTATTTAAAGAAATTACAAAGAGACTTCAGTAGCTTCACTTCATTGCTATGTCTTCCTTACTTCATTGAAACTTTGGAATGAAAAATATGAAAGACAATTAAATTATGATCTTAATGACATAAAAAAAAAGAGTTCCTCGTTGAGAGAGAAATGCATAAGTTTTATTGTTACTGCTAGGGAAGAAGAAACCAAGAGATGTAGCTTTGAATGTTTATAATTTATTCTAAAATATAGAAATTATATAAAAAATATAATTTTGTTTTACTACTAATGAAATACCGAACGAAATGTCACTTCAGTGAAAGATCATGAACTGAAAAGTACCAAAAAATTTAGGCATTATGCCAAGAATTATCAGCCATGCAGTGAATACATAGCAAAAGGAGTTATGGAAATTGAGACTCTTCTCACAGTTTTATTATGTAGCTTTCTCATTTAAAAAATAAATATAAATTTCATTAGTAAATGTGCATGTTCTTTCTAAGAAGTAAATTTTTATTCTGTCATTGCTTATTTCTTGACTTTCCCTATCTGTAGCTTCAAAGTAGAGCTGCCGATGATAAAGAATGTGCTGCTTTTACTATTGCTAATATGGCGGACAATCCGAAATTTGTTGCCTCATTGCTTGAAAATAAAGTTATACGTATTGCTGCACCTCTTCTTGTAGACCGTAACGTGGCTGTCAGGCACGCTATTGCTGGTTGCTTACGGTAAGTTTAACTCAAGATTTTTTATTAAGGTTGTTTTTCCTAATCTTTAATACACTGTGTATCATATGAAAGAATATAGCAGTTATAATAATACAAGTATGTATGCATTAAATGTATTGTTTTTTAGCTTTCATTAAAATTACATTTTGATTTTATTTGAATATTATTTGAATTATCTGTTCATAATCTCGCTAAAATATCCTCACATATCTGAAGAGTGATATTTGGAAAAAATGCAAGATTTTTTTATGCATTTTTAAAGCTTGGGGTATTTTTCTATTAATGGAGCACCAACTACCAAATATATGTATATAGTAGCCTGTTTATATCATATAAGGAATAACTGTGTGCTGAATAACTATGCAGTATTCATTGTGTGCAATTCTTTGATGTTTTGTAAGCAAAAACCAACTGCATTGTTCTTTTATTCACAACAATCTGTTTTCACATTAAAAACATCAGAGAATTGCATAAATTCTGCATCGTACAGAGCTTTGGAAGATACGTTGCTTTTATTACAAGTTCGATTTTTTTCCCCCCACAAAACTTTACACTCTAGCCACCATCTAACTGATTCTAGGCTGGAAGAGAGATTCTTAATGCCAGGAATGGTTGTTTATGATGAGGTTACAACATCAGATACTTCCTGTTTATAGCAGTCTTGGTAAAATAGAGAAAAGGACATTAGGCTGCTCTAGGCTTAAGAAAATGTTATTTATTGCTAAAAATTATGTATAGCCATGAGCATGAAATTGACAAAATGATGACCAATGATAAAATTTATAATCTATGTGTAGTTTATGCTTTTTAAAATCGTGAAATTTGTTGTCCTAAGTTAACAGAATTAACATTATTGTAACATTTCTCTTATGTTCTCTTTTCAATTTGCTCGCGATAGAAAAAGATGTTGCTTTTTTTCAAAGAGAAAGGCATTTTACCTTCTGAAAGAATTTGGGAAAATGGCCGTAATATTCAGTTATAAGTTGGGAAAGAAACCAGAGGTGGGTTAAGCCAGTTGGAGGCCTCTGACAGTGAAATTTTCAGGGCCTCTGAGAAAGTATTTGCATACCTGTATGCTTAAAATGCAATTAGTGCTGAAGTGTTTCAGCATGTTATAAATATTTTAATAAATATTTATAATAAATTATGTATATTAATACATTGATTGCCATGGTGGTCAATAGTGACCAACATTTGGTTATTTCAGTAACGCTGTGGGAGTCTTAGGTGATTGCCAAAGTGCGTAAAATTGTTCAGTGCATGCAGTAAAAAATTACTTCCTTAGTGCCATGTTGGGCTGTGATGACCACACATGAAAAAAAAATTAAGCTTTGTTTTAAAACCACCAAAATAATAAAATACTAATTATATTTATATATCCTCACAGAATAAGCCTGAAAACCAGTATTCATTTTTCAGCCAATTTTAAAGTGATCAATGTGTTAATATATAATTAAATATATTGTAATAAAATTATGATTTAATATTTTTATTTCTAAACATTCTTATATTATTTCCTCTGCATATCAGATTAAAATACCCAAAAATAAAATTCTGTTAAAAATTAAGTATTCTGTAAGAAAGAAAAATATAGCATTATGAACTACTAAAATATGTTATGAAATAGTTTAAATTAAAATAATTGATTATTAGATGAATGAAAAAAAATGAATGCTTTCTTTGACTTCATTTTAACATTCCATATGTGATAAAGTCATATTGTTTAATCTTTCATCTAACAAATTTGCTTTTAAAATAGTTTCTACTCTTCTTACCTACAGAGACAGAACTTTCTATGGATGTATTGGAAACTGGAATAGTAAAAAATCTGCTAAATAATTTCTACAATAGGAAATGTTGATGCTATTTTTCTGGCAGCATGATATACTTATGTTGCAAAACTAAATATGTCATTTAAAAAAAAAGTTTCACTTTATCATCAAAATGCATAATATTTATAACACTCTACTAAATCTCTTTGAATTTATGTACATGGACATTTCTTACTAAATTTGGTGAATTTAAAGAATATTTTATTTTTATATGCTTCATTTCTATGAGCAAATTTTGATTATTTGCCAAAAGTATTGTTAAAAAAACTAAAAATAAATTTTTAAAAGTGATTTTAATTCTTTTCTTTCATAACCAAATTTCTCTTTTTTATAATGACTTGATTTATCTTCATATTCAAATAACATAGAAAATGTTTCTTTTTGAATGTTAAAAAATTCAGAATGGAATTGTGTGATAACATTTTCCTGAGATTTTTAATAAATCAGCTCCTTTAAATTAGATGCATGAAGTTTCTAGTGACATTCTTTTTCTGCGGAATGGTGTTTCATATTATTATCATGAGTATTTGCAAAGTTTTTTTTTTTTTTTTTCCCCAATTAAGATGTAGCTTACATTACAGTTTCTTTTCTGAATCTGAAACACAAATGACAGATAAGGCTTATATGGTTATATATATATTAATCTTTTATATGGTTGTACCAGTTTTTAATGCCAGTGCAGCATTAGCATTAATGACGGCAATCTAGCATCAGATACTTTATTTAGAATTAATTTCACACCTTTTCTAACTTCTTAGTAAAAAATTTGCTATTGAAAATGCATGCAAAAAAGCAAGCAAGAAACTTTTGCACAAATATAAATTATAGAGCAATTTTCTGCAGCAAAACTTCTCAGTAAATTTTAAGAATGAAAGTCTGAAAGCTTTCAAATTTTACATTATACCCAAAGGGGCCTTTTTTTAATGTTTTGTGTGTTACCTTTATTTATTAAATGTCATATTCTTCGCACTTAAACCATAAAATTCAGTTCGACAGCGATATCGCAAAATCATTTTAAAATGAGCATATCTTTAGAATTTCCGATACAGTCTCGCGCACTGGAGATAAAAATGTTACCGCGTATAGTGTTGCCATTGCTTGCTTAGAAATCATTCAGTTTGTTAATCAAAAATTCTTTAACGTTTTACAAAATATGAAATAGATAATAAAACAAGCTCCAAATTCCAAATTTGGGCTTCCAGATGCCCATATTTGCAAGAGGATTACATTATTCAAAATTGGATGGCTCTAGGTACTGTTGTTTTATCACAATGCGAGAAACATAGATACATTTATGCAGATTCTCCATTATTTAATTTCTTTAAATGTAATACAGGGCGATAATATTTGGTGGCAATAATTTGAAAAGTGAAACAATGCATATAGTTGATCAACACAAAATGCCAAAATGAAATTAATAACCCTTCTGGGCTAATGCCCTTTTTGCTAATAATTAGTGCAAGGGATGTAGATCATACGTTGAACTGCAGCATTTAGTAGAAGTTTGCAGTCCTGTATATTTTCCCGATGAATTTGCATCATTATCATATATCTGTCTTTGATAAATTTTATTTTTGTACATAATTTTGCTAAAGCTGACAATACTTGCTGTTCCAAATAAGAGGCTATATACTGTTCGGTTGACATACCAGTGGTTCTCAATTTTTTTTTTTTTTGCTCCATTAACACCTGCACCGTTGCTAGATGATGGTTCTCCTCTCCTAGGCAAAACTAGAAAAATGCATATACATTTATTTAAATGTAAATTGGTTTTTAATATACAGCCAAATACCAAAAATCCACTGACCTGAAATCCGCCAACTCCTGAAATCCGCTTTGCCTCTTAAAATATGAACATTCAGTTTATAGGTTCTGGAAACCGCAACATAGAATACGAAATATCGAAGAAAAAATACTTACTGAATAATGATGTCATAATTACCGAATAATAATGAGTCATAATGGAAATACCAAATTATTGACTTTATAAATACCAAATTATAAACTTTTAAAATTAAGTTTTAAAAAATAAAATAAAAGTTTTTTCCTCTCATCTCTGCATCGAGATAAAAAAGCAGACAATTCACTCAACTCTTCGTTCAAGTTCACGATTCACGTTGTTGTATTTCCTGAGCTTTGTTATTTCACGAGATTGTTTACTACTGCCTTTTTTTTTTTTTTTTTTTTTTAATCCTGATATTTTGTGGATAAATTTAAGAATATTTTAAATTTCAGCCCTTTTTAATTTTATGACAGATAAGAAATACACTCATGATTTTACTGCTTGCAAGGTTGAAAAACAAAAACGTTGCATTGACAGTAATGCAAAAAATGCAAATTCTGCAAAAGATGGAGGCAGGTGCTACTCCTCGATTTATAGCAGAATGGTATGGAATTGCGACACAATTTTGTATGATATACGGAAAAATTAAGAAAAGATGTTGAAATTTTACAGCAACAGTGATCCTAACACCGGAATCCGAAACCGGAAATCTTTGTATGAGGCGAAATCGACAAACCTTGATGCTGTGTACAAATAATACAATGAATAATATAATCAATTTATATATGTAATAATAATTTAATGCATATAATAAATTATTGCAATAATGTATATAATAATTTAATTAAATGTAACTAATATGCCTTATTTTTTTGCACTTTTAGTCTGCATATTATGCGTTATCTTTTCTGTCCTGAAATCCGCACAAACCTCTGGTCCCAAGCTCTGCAGATTTCTGGACTTCTAATGCATTATAAATTAAAAAGAAGAAATATAGAAAATGTTGATAAATAACAAATACATGTTTTTTAAATAATAATAATAAATAAATAACTAATTTTTTTTTTTTTTTTTTTTTTTTTTTAATTCTTTAACTAAATTAAGTACTTAACAGGTAAATAAAAGGATGACTGCATTTGCCCTTGAAGTTATGAAATTCACTTTTAGTGATAATTTTCCCCAATTGAGAAGGACTTTTCTCCCTTAGAAACTTTTCTATTACATCACCCCTTGGCCATTTGTACATTATAACTAACATTAGTTGATAAGTATGTGAAACATCTGGTGAAGAGACAAGTATAAGGTTGTAGTAAGTTGCTGATTTAATTTCTTCTGTTATATATGCTATTAAATACTCTCTCCGTCCCAAATTAGTTGCTACATTT